TCTCCATCAGGTGTTCGAATGCCGGAACGGCGTTGTCATTCTGAACGGCATAACTAGCCACTCGTAGAACCCAAATTTGCTTGTGAAGGCCGTCTTTTCCACATTGTCAGGATCCATAGGAACGTTCCAATACCCAGAGGCGATGTCCATCGTCGAGAATAGAGAGGCGTTCCTTTGAGCGTCCAGAACGTCATCAATCAACGGCATCGGATAACTGGCCTTCACAGTGACAGCATTCAGCTTCCGATAGTCAAAACAAAATCGAATACCTCCGTCAGGCTTCCTGATCACCAAGACGGGACTAGACCAAGGGCTTGTCGACGGCCGGATGAGGCTAAGGTCCAAGTATTCCTGGATTTCCGATTCCATGACGTCGCCTTCGGCTTTACAGACACGATAAGGCGGCTGTTTGATCGGCGCATGCGTTCCCGTGTCGATACTGAACTTGAGGAGTTTCGTTCTTCCAGTTTTTTTCGAGGTCTCCACAAACAAGTCTCGCATGTCTCTCAGCATGTCGGCGAATAGCCTTCTTTGCTGGGCACCCATCGCGGAGTCTTCAAAGTCCACCTTTAAGTCACCCTCTTCGTCGTCCTTCATTGCTACGATCATTTCTTCCTCAGGCGTTCCAACTACGGCGACCACACTGTCGTTACCAGCGCTCAATACAGCGCTGACGTTCTCAGCCGTTTCACTTTCAAAGGGAGCGCGGGTTACGAGCGTCGCTCTGGGGACGATCGTCACGGCGGCGACGTACGCGCCGGGTAGGATATCCACTTCTTCGGCGGAGGCGTTGCACACTTCCACCAAGATTGTTCCTTTCGTTACCGCGCAGGGCGTTCTAGCCACTCTCAGTGACTGGAACGCTTTCCACCAACACTACTGAATTGTCTTTCACCCTTCCTCGAGCTCTTGACCTTATTAGCGCCTGACAACCAGGCTCTAGAAGCACTCTAGCCGATACTGTAGCTGCATACGTCTCGTCCACCCTCGTTTCGCCCAAAGGAACGATGTCTCCAGTCCCATTTAGCGTCATCTTTTGTCCTTCCAGGTCGATCACGGCGCGGAACGCCTTCAGCGAGTCCGTGCCGAGGACGGCGTCCACGAACAGGTTGTCGACCACCACGAACAGAAGCGTTCTTTCAAGCGTTCCGAGTGTCACGGGCAGGTCAATGACTCCGCGTACTCGTATGACGTGTCCTGAAACGCTGTTCAGACTGCCCATATAAGGTCTCAGAGTCTCCGACGTTCGTCCTAGTCTCTTCAACACACGCTTGTTTACCAGGCTTGCGACCGCACCTGTGTCAGCTAACCTTTTAGACGGACAACAGTCGATAAAGCGGTGTGATAGGACCTGCACTCCTCGCACACTACAAACGACGCGCTTGCCTGTCGAGACGACGTCTCCATCGTCGTGTGTACCTTCCTCTCTGTTTACCTGGCAGAGCCCCGGTCCTCTTAGCTCTTTCGGCGCTCTTCTCGTGTTCGCACGATACACTTCGGGGGTTTCTTCTTCTATTCTGAGCTCCTCGTTGCTGATTGGCAAACTGAACTCGACTTTCTTCCATGGATTTACCCCATTTGTCGCAGTAGCCTGTCCCACTATTTCGGGTTTCTCTTTCTCCTGTCCCACAACTTGTCACGAATGGTCGGGGCTTCCGTCTCAAAATAGCTTCGACCCCAAGTCCTCGCACGATTTAGGAACACCTCCGTAGGCGTTCCACCTATTCCGAGGAGGTACTCACGCAGAATATTCTCGTCTAGAAAGTCTTCGCCCTTCTTGTCACGTAACGGGGGAGGGGGGGGGGCTCTCCTGTCGCACGGTCCTGTTCTACCCATCTGGATTCCCTACTTCGCGCTCCATCAGGGTGTTCCTTTCTTGTTTCAGGAACGCCACCTGAACGGAAGCGTTCCAACCTTCTCTTCGGTAGCCCAGGTGGTTGGGACAGCAAGATCGTCGAACTCGAAGCATACGTTCCGTTCAAAGTCGCGCTCTCCGTCCTCTTCAGCTGTTTCTTGTGATTCCGTCCCTGCGTTCTTCTTATCGGAAATCACACCTACCACAGCGGCAGCCGTTCCGCGCTCTCACTAGCGTCCCTGAAGGCTCGATTCGCCCGCTTTACCCCCGTAGAAGCCGCCAGCTTCCGATCATACCAATCCAGCCAATACGCAGGCGTTCTTAGCTCTCCTGGCGAGACTTTTCGTGTGCGTTCCAGCACTTCCTCGGAGATCCCTAGCACCGCACTCATCTCCGATAGAGTCGGCGTTCCCTGTTCCTAGGCATTCCTTTTTGCTCGCAGACGAATGACCTGTTCATCGACGGGGTACAATCGCTCCTCAAGTTACTTCTCGTACTCCTCGGGTTCTTCCTTAGCTCTGTGACCTTCACCATGCTCAAGAATATCCAGCTCCTCGTCGGTGAACAGGCGGTCGTAGCGTCCTGTAGAATCCTCCCCCTTGGTATTTTTGGTCTTCTGAGTGGTAGTCGCACTAACCACCTCTATTACCACCGAAACGTGGCTCGCTCTTGCGCTCGCGGCATCTGTCGTCGTTTCCAAGGCATTTTTGTTGATCCTAGACGTCGCACTGAAGCGATCTGCTGCTCCAGTCTCGTCTTCCTTTTCTTGTTCGGAACGCTTCGTCGTTCCATCTCCTCGTTCTCGCGGCGCTGCCAAGCGCCCCGTTGCCTTTTCCGCGTTTTCCTCTCTTCCCTCGGGCTCACTCAAAGAGCCATTCGTTTGACAGTCTTGTTGGAAGCCGGTCCGTTCCGTTGGACCGCTCCCTCTTCCAGTTCCTAGTTTGGAGCCTACCCGTTCCGTTTGGATGCTCTCGTCATTTTTACACAGCATGGAACCCACCCGGTCCGTTGAGATGGCCACTTCGTTCTTGTCCAGTATGGAACCCACGCGTTCCGTTGGGATGATCTCGTTCTTGTCCAGTATGGAGTCCACCCGTTCCGTTGGGATGCTCTCGCTCTTGCTCAGTAGGGAGCCCACCCGTTCCGTTGGGATGCTCACTTCGTTCTTGTCCAGTATGGAGCCCACCCGTTCCGTTGGGCTGCTCGCTTCATTCGTTTCCCGTTCTACAGTTTCAGTCCTCACACTTGAGACTGGCACACCTCGAGTACTTTTCACATCCGTCCCACTTCCCTCGAGAGTCTTCTCGGATCCACTAGTAGTTAGTCTAGGTGGAACCTCACCTCTCGGCGTGTCCCCTTTAGGCAAGAGGAAGGAGCGACGCTCCCTTCCCCCCCCCCTCCTGCCCCCTTCATTGTTGAGGCGTTCCGGATGACGCGGTGGCGTTCCCAGCGGTCGCGTTCTGCGTCAGGCTACACAGTCGGTCCAGACTAGGGCATTTGGCCACCGAGTGGCTCTTCTCGCTGCAGAGAAAGCACTCCATACGACGGCGTTCTCCGCTCCGATAGGATCCTTGGGGTCTCGGCCGGTTACACTCCATAGAAAAGTGACCCAGCTCGTTGCACCTGTTGCATCGCCATTGTCCTCGCGGGAAGGTTTCGCGACCACATCCCATTCGTCCACAGCGACCACATACAACTTCTCCTTCCGTTGTACGCGTGTCTGGGCCGAGTCTGATCCTCAGTGGACCTAAGCCCGACGGAACGTTCCCAGGTGTCGAAGCGTTCTGAGGCGACGAGGCGCTCCCAACCGGAGTCGGAATGCCTTGAACAGGGGGAGCCGGAAGCACTACAGCTCTGATGTATCCCTGCTGCACTCCAGCGCCCTGTAGCTGTATCTGCATGAGCTGATTCATCAGCTGTAGTTGCTGTAACATCTGCGACGGCGTCGAGTCCGCGTCAC